ATGCAGAGACCACTTGTCTCTGTGCTTTAACTTTTTGAGATATGACTTCTCACTGAGAGCTGGGTCTTGCTGATTAAGTCAGGCTGGCTCTCAGTAAACCCCAGGAGTCCTCTTACCTCTGCCTCTCCAGCACTGGGATTACAAACATGTGCCGAATGCTCACCATTTTTATGTGGGTACTAGGGGTCAAACTCAGGTCCTCATGTTGAATGGTAAACACTTCATTGATTGATCCATCTCCCCAGCCCCTGATGTTATCTGTTTGTTTACTTCCATTACTGAGTCTAGAGGCTGTGATTACTATATAATGTACTCACATCACATCTCACTCTAGAGACAGGGACTGGAAAGTCAAACATGGATTTTTTCAATGTATATTTTTATTGAATTTTTGTTTATTTCATACAATACACCTTGATCATATTTAGTCTCCCTCCCTATTTGCACTACTCTCATAGCTTGCCCAAAGGGTTTCATGCATTCTGTCATATATGTTAAGGCCTATGGAGTCAAATTTTCTACGCATATGTCCCTAGAAGTCAGTTCATCCACTGGAACCTGTTCAGCCTATTTAGCATTGCTCCTTTAAAGAAGATCAATTATCCCTCACCAAACAGTGATCAGCTGCCAACAGTTCTTTCACTAAGGTTGGGCCTCCTGCCCATTTCCCCATTCTATGTTGGGTTTTGTCTGACTGAGTTTGCATGGGTCTTGTGCATGCTGTCACCATTGCTGTAAGTTCATGTGAACAAGTTCCCAGAAGCCTGGGATACTCTATTTCCTTATAGTCATGCACCACCTCTGCCTCTGACAATCTTTCTGCCCCCTCTTCCTGACCCCTGGGAAGGTGAAGTTTAATACAGGAGTCCTATCCAGAGACATGCACTCTGTATTCTCTCATTCTGTATACTTTGCCTAGTTATGGCCTTCCATGTTTATCACTCTCTGTTGCATGAGGAAGCTTAACTGGTGAGAGTTGAGAGATGCATTAGTATTCTCTCTATCCCCTGTTTGTGACCTTTGGGTGTAGAGGTTCCATTGTAGATGTCCCACTTATGGCTGGGCATCTCTCGGATACTAATTCTCTCTGTGTGACCCATTGTGGAACTCTGTAATAGTCTTCCTGTTGCCAAAAGAAGCTTCTTTGATGAATGGTGACTGACTGGCATACTTGATAGATAGTATGCAGGGCTTAGGGAGGAAAATCAGGAGGGGGGCCTACAGGCAAGATAGGGCTGGGGCCAGTATAGGGAGGGTCTAATTTGCTAGGCAGAATATGGGTGGGCCTCAAATATGGATCCTGTAGTGTGTTTCTGAGTGGAAGAGTTTTACAACTGAGATTCCCTTGCTCAAGAATGAAAGGATCAAGGAAAACACCTTCCTACCACACTGACAACTATGACCCAGTTCTCAGAGAGGAGTGTAGCAATCAGGACTAGAGCCTCTCCCAATTTCTAAGTGATATCTAGGCAGTAAGAGGCCTCTGAGGAAATAGTGGTAACTGTGTTCACAGCAGTTTCTAGGCCTTTGAATTACAAGTGTAGAGATATGGCCTCAAAACCAAGAGCTGTGTAGCAGTGCTCCAGGGACTCCCATTGCTCTACCTCATCCACGAAGTTTTCAGCATTTACACCTTGTAAATAATTTTGGTTATTTTTTTGAACTTCTCAAAGAGAAATCTGCTTTGTATATTGAACTGAACCTGGCTATGCCAGATTCATCTTTATATTACCAACATTTTGCAAATGTGTCCCAGAGCTGAGCTAGGCAAATGTCACCAAATGAAATAGACTCTGATATTTAATGCTTAAATAAACTATTTAAATAATTTATCTTTCTGAAGTCACTTTTCTGTCAGGAACAATATTTAATAGGATTGTTAATGGCAAATATCTATTATTCACTGAGCATATTTTGTAGACACTCACTATCAAACCCACTGACAAAAGTGAAAATGTTCCTAAAGGTAATTTTATGATGTGGAATGACAGGCAGGTTTCAGCCCTGAATAGAACGGCAGAGTGTAAAATAACATACAATGCCGGTCAATGATTCTGCTTGTATCACAGCTCTTCCCTGGAAATAATGTCATAAAATGTGCTCTGCATTTAGGGCAAGCATACACAAGATGAGATGAAAAAAATAAATGGAAGTTCTATCTTTCCAAAAGCTTTTGCTGATTCATCTATTTAACAGCTTCTGGTTTTCCTTGAGTAGACTACTTTGTGTTTCATTCATAGGCTGTATTGCCTGAAGAATTCAGAGAACAGAGAATTGGTCCACCAACAACCCACTGAAATCAGTATTTCTCCAAGTCTGTTTTGGAAACACACTCAAGCAAAAATCACACTTCAGAAGAAGATATAGACTTAAGAAGTAACTCCAGAACTCAGTACAAGTTTCCTTCACTGTGGATTGCTATTACAAACAACCAAAATATGAGGATGGGTTAAAACAAATAATCTGTTTTCTTATTAGAATTCCAGACATGACAAATGGGGAGGGTATATGTATGACACATGTAAAGATCAGTAAATTGTTC